GTCCCAGTCCATGGACAGCCAGCTCCTGGGGCTCAAAGTGAGGCTGGACATCATGGCAGAAGAATGTGGTGGAAGGAAGCAGCTCACATGATGATCAGAAAGCAGAGAGAAAAACTCCACTTGCCAGATACAAATATATACCTTAAAGGCACATCCCCAATTCCCACTTCCGCTGGCCACACCCTACTGGACTTTAGTTATCACTCAGTTAATCCCATCAGGGGATTAATCCCTTAAGGGAGCTGTTGCCAACTTCAGCCTTCATGCCATCTTTCTTTACTATCCTAAGCCCTTGCCCAATCATTTCTCCTTCAAACTTCCTTGCATTGTCTCACATGTGAGCTTTTGGGGGACACCTCACTTTCCAAACCATATCATGCACGAAGTGAATGACCCAAATTATATGATTTCAAAGACAGATGATAAAAGTTCAGAGCTGGAGGTGGTGGCACATGCCTGTAATCCCAGTGGCTGGGGAGGCCGAGGCAGGAGGATTGAGAGTTCAAAGCCAGCCCCAGCAAAATCGAGACACTAAATAACTCAGTGAGACCCTGTCTCTAAATAAAATACAAAATAAATAAAAATAAAATGGGGATGTGGCTCAGTGGTTGAGTGCTCCTGAGTTCAATCCCCAGTACAAAAAAAAGTACTGGATGATAGTGGTAGTTAGGATATTGGAAGCTCTGTGGGGGATGGGTAGACAGGTATTGGCTTAGACGAACCTTCTGAGGCATTGGGAAGGTTCTGTATGTTGATCTGAGTGGCAGTTAGATGGTTCTACACATGCAACAGTAAACACTTATGGACTTTATTCTAGGCATGTTATACCTCAACAAAAAATAAAATCAAAATACAAACTAAATGGAAGTGTAGTTTGATGCCCAAGAGAAAAGGCAGAACAGAAAAAGAAAGATCTGGACAACACAAACCTGTTGGTGAGAATCGAACTCATGGATGCTGGGCTGGGAGGGAATAGAGAGGATGAGGACATGGAAGCCAGAGCCCAGCAGGCAGTTAGACCTCAGAGAAGAGGGGAGAGCAGTCAGTGAAGGATTGGCATTGGCTTCTGCTTGCTCTCCACCCTCCTCCACTGCCTCTACATCCCAGCTCCTGCCAGTTAGCCCTGGGCAGTACCCCTGGCTGTGTGCAGTAATGACAGTCCTCAATATCCCCGCTTATTCTAGCATGGTCTCCATCACTGTGTAGCTTTCCAGATGAATGAAGAGATTTTTGCAGGACCAAGCCGGTGTAACTTCTCTTGTTGGAAAAATTGTGCCCAACCTCAGGCCGCAAAACCCACAAGTACCTCCCTGAAATACTCCCTCCTCTACAGTGCTACTCCCTTGTGGTCATTGTCCATTTCCCACAGTGATTTCAAAAATCGGCCATGTGTGACATATCTTAGAGTGCATTTTTTGCAAGACTTCTATCCTTTAAAGATTGATCACCACTAAAGCATTATAATTAGAAAGGTAGACAAGGAAAAAATGCCAAAGAGAGAATATTAGAAAGAACTGAGACAATTGAGCTTTGACCTCATTTGCTGAGTGCTTACTCCGTGCCAAACACTTAAGCATGTCTTTTTATTTAGACTTCTTATTGGCTTTTTAAGGTAAACATCTCTATCTCTAAAGATGAAGAATAGAGTTATGGAGGTGTGGGGACTGAGATCACACAGGCTGTCAGTGGCCAGATGGCTCAGAGATCTGGTTCTCCTCATTCCAGACCACAGCTGTATCTTGCTCAAGCAGACCCCCATTAAGACACCATCCTCAAGGGGGCTGCTGCCATCCTCAGCCTTCATGCCATCTTTCCTCACTGTCCTAAGCCCATGCCATTCTCCTTGTTTCTGCAGTGGGGAGGGACAAGTACTCTTGCCATTCCCTGTCCTAAAATGTCTCTGGATCCCCTTCCCTCCAGTGCAAGGCCCAGCCTTGGGTCTGCAGTCAAAGCCTGCCAGAATCTGACCTATCTTATGCTTCTAACCTTTCTATTCATTGCTAATTGTGGGTTTTTGTTTGTTTATTTGTTTGTTTTGTTTTTTAAATACCTGATGTTTTTTCCTGGGGGTTCTCAGCCCTGGTTGCACATGAAAATCACAGGGACCCCAGGGGTGCTCTGGCCAAACCATAGCCTAAGATGGGCTCTCCCAAAGCCCACACTTCTCCAGGCCTGGGTTTCACTCACAGTTTTCCTTCCTGCCTTCCTCCTATCTTTTTCTAAATCTTTCCTCTCCTTCAGGGTTTTTAGTTCATAGTGACATTTTGTAAGCCTTCTATCTTTTAAGGATTGATTCATGCTGTGAAAATAGAAATTAGGTTAGATCTATTTGATCATAATTTCACAATAATAATTAAGTGTGCTTGATATTTTTATTCCAAGTTCAATGCAACATCTTAAGAATATGCTGGGACTATGGGCCATGAAGATCCCTGATGAAGAGTATATGATCTCTGCTTGATGGAGACTGCTTCTCATGAGGGAGATAACATGGATGCATGTAACTAAGTCCAGGCAGGCGCTGGTGAGGGTTAAAATCAGGGCCAGCGTTCTCTAGAGGCACTACAGGGGGTGTTAATTCTTTGGAAGATTGTGGAAAGAATGATTGTTTGCATCCTGGGAGGTGTCTGGTAGCTGGTGAAGGGCTTAGTGACCACTAAAACTCAGTGGGAAGCATGCCTTTTTAACTTAAAGAGTGTCCTTGGGGAAGCTTTGATTTTTCTCATCAAATGGGACAGTGCAGCATCACAGAGTCATGATGCAGATGGAGAGAGTTCATGTTTGTGTACAGCCTGTGCCTGTCCCAGTAAGTGCTGGCTGCTTTTGTTGTTGTTGTTGTTGTTGAGAGAATGAGGCAGAGTAGGTTACCAAGGGAAGTCTTTCATTTATTTATCTGGCAACATCTATTCCTTCTCGGATGAGGGACTGTGCGTGGATAATTTGGTACCTGTCCTAAAGGAGCTCCTGGTCTAGTGTGAGAAACGCATGTGAAGAAAATTACGGTAATGGTAGTCATTGCCGTAATAGAAATTTGCAGGAGAAGTTGAGGGAGGTCAAGGGGACTCTGAGTGTGGGTTATGGGTTCTGAAATACTCCCTAGAGGAGCTAGCTGTACCTGTGCAGTGTGTCAGAGCACAGGACTCAGTTCCACTGGGAATGGAAAGAATTAGAAACTATATATCCCTTCCCGAGGTCCTTAACAATGAACTACGGGTACAGAAGGCCATTTGAAGTACAGTACTTTCTTCTTTCAAGTGTCCTGCTGTATTTGGGACTTGGGGTTCAAATCCTACATACCACATACTAACTGTAAAACTTTGATTACTTAATCACTCTTTTCTGATTTTGTTCCCTTACTCATAAAATAGAATGAATAGTATCTACATTGTAAGGCTGTTGAACGATATTAATATTTTATTAAGTCAGTGACTCTTACCTGCCTTATTTACCATTGCACCTCAGCTCCTAGCCTAGTTCAGGGTGTTTAGTAGCTGCTTAAAAGATTTTATTTGAACAAGAGGATAAGTGATGTATGTACAGTATTTATCTAGTGCTTAGCCCATATTTTATAACCACTTAATAAATGGCAATTAGCCTCATCACTATTATTCCTGGTAGGTTGAGTGCCACTTGGCTAATAGGAAGAAGCCCCTTTGCTCTTCTGTTTGCACGAACTCGAAACTTTTGGGAAAAGAACCATAAAATGCTCAGAAAAGATTTTTTTATGGACATTTTTACTCCAGCAACCATTTCCGAGTCACTATTTTATAATCTGCCTATGTAAATATTAATTAAATGGGAGGCCAGCCTCTTGCCAGGCTGTACACATGAAATCATTGCATGCATAAAACAAGAAACATAAAATTAGAATCTTAATGAGAGCAATTAGAAAAGAATGATTGTTAACAAGCTTAAATTTTCTCTGAAAATGAATTAAGAACTATTTTTGTGCTTAGTACTATTATCTAATTTTTACTGAAGTCTGGAGTTTGAATTTCCTAGGAACCACCAGAGTGTGGGTTGATTGTGTGCGAGCTCTGGATAGCATTTCCTTCGTGGGCTGTAATGACTTCCCTGCTGAGGATCTTTCTGTGCTTCTCTGACATTTTGCCAGTTTCTCCCCCCAAAGCACAGGAACCTTAAGGACTCCTCACTGGATTTTTGCCGAGTTGTACAAGAAAGTCCATTCAGCCTAAGTTCCCTGAAGGCAGTGCTTGACCCTTGTGCTTTTATCCCTGTCTGTAGTCCAGACACAAAAGACTGCCCAACCAATGTGTGCAGAATGTCTCCAGTGGGGAGCAGGACCTGACCATTTCTCCCTTGAAGATTTAGTGGGCCACTGGATTAAATATGCAATTCAGATCTATTCAGAGGGCACAGGGAGAGGGAAAATGAGGAGTAAAGGTATAATAAAAGTGGGAGAGAAATGTCAGTGGGCCTGTCAATGGGAGTATCGTTGCCCACCAGTGCCACACCCCATAGCCTGGTGACATGAGAAGAGAGTATTATCAAGGTCACTAAGGATGGAGTATCATTTCTCAACTATACTCCTGTAGTACATAGTCACCCACAATTTTCCATCCTTTTAACTTAACATAACCTTGCTTTGCAGAGGCCACTTCCTCCCTTCTGAAGGCAGGCAAATGCCTAAGGCACTGGCAAAAATAAAAGCCAGACAATAAGTTGGGTGCTTAGATCACTCTTTCAAAAGGAGTCAGGTTAGCTTTTCATTATTCATTTCCAATCGGTTATTCCACTTTGAAGCAGACATTTGTCAATCTCCTACTGTACACATGTAGCTTCCTGTCCAGAGACACTTCTGTCTAACATGGAAGAGAGCCACAATGTGAACTCTGACCTACAGCAAATTTGGTTAAGCCTTACAGGACTTTTTGTGCTTTTTGAGCAGTCATCCTACCCATTCTGACTTGAAGCATCAAGGAAGCCTTCTGGATTCAGTAGATAAAACAAAATAATCATGCAGGCAGTGAGGTGGCACTTTCTAGTCAGGAGGGCTGCTGGGCATGGAGAATTAGGCTTGCCTATGGGGAGCCACAGACCTTCAGATATGACAAGCATCCAAGGGTAAGGACTGACCTGGCAGGGATGAGTCTGGGAAGGTAGCTTCAGTCTAGACCAGGGATGGGCTAACTTTCTGTGAAGGGACAGAATGTAAATATTAGAGGCTTTGTAGGCCAACATGCAGAATTGAGAATATTATGTATATATTTATAAAATTAGAGAGAAAACAAATTTCTCAAAAATTTTTAGTGACAAAATTAAAAATAATAATAATAATGGAATAATTTTATGTAATATAGGTCTGTTAATGAGAAGAATGGATTTTTTAGGAAAGTAATATTGGCTGAGTTGGGGTTCAAAATTAGTGTTGACTTTCATTAAATTTATTGCAAATATCAATCCACAAAAAACATTCCTGGGGGGGTGGGGCTGGGGCTCAGTGGTAGAACTCTTGCCTAGCATGTGGGTGGCCCTGGGTTAATCCCCAGTACTGCCAAAACAAACAAAGAATCAAACAAATAAACACCCTTTCCTTGCTCATGGCTAAACAAAACCAGGTGGAGAGCTGAATGTGGCTTGCAGGCCATATTTTACCAATTTCTGACCTCTGCTATTGAGAAGAGAACACTGGGCTGCCAGGTTTCCGATTTTGTATTTAAGTAGCAAATAATACCTGAACAAATGCCTGAGAATAGTTGGTTTGACTGGGCCTTACTCAGCACATCATTTAACCTTCCTAAATGGACATAGTCACTCTCTTGTTTCCTTACAGCTGAGAAGCAACCGGAAGCTATGTAAGTGTAAGAGCCTCTTTGTCTTTATGTATAATGGGTAAGTAAGTCATCTCTCATGGCAACCAAGAATACAAGATACAGGATTCACCATTATGAAATAATATTAGTCTCTGGCTGCTGTGACCATTTTGTATGGGATTCTCTTGGGAGTTAGAACAAGGCTTTTAAAACAAATAGACAAGGAATAAATGGTATTAAAATAATCAAGGGAAAGTAATCAATCTGCCTAGAATCTAGCAGCCAAGAGTATCACAGAAGATCTCTATCCTGGGGGACTTAGGACTCCTCAAAGAAGCACCCGCCTCATGTAGCTCCAAAGGAGATTGGACTGGAGAGAGGTTTGTTCATTCTAGCTGCTGAAATCTCATCTAACACCCCCATTCTTTTTTTTTTTTTTTTAATATTTATTTATTTATTGGCGGACACAACATCTTTCTTTGTATGTGGTGCTGAGGATGAACCTGGGCCGCACGCATGACAGGCGAGCGTGCTACCACTTGAGCCACATCCCCAGCCCATAACACCCCCATTCTTTGGGGTACCTTTTAGCACATCAGAATCCTCCTAATCTAGACTGCATTTGTGAGAAGGTGATACTTTATAACCACTGTCCCAATCTGCGTCCATGAAGGAATTTTGGCAGAGTGTTACTTTATTTATTCAGTCAGTCAGTCAGTTCATACTTGTTAAGCTCTTCTTATGAAGAAGACATACCTAGACTTTGGGGAAATGACTAGAGGTCCAGGGCTTGGGACATCCTGATTTTTGTGATAGCTTCTACTTCAATCATGAGGGGAAGTATGATGATGATGGTGATAGTAATGATAATGAAGATGGTGCTGGTGTTGGCCCTGGAGCTAGGGAGAGGGGAGAGGACAAATCAGCAGATGCATGAATGTCTTTAGGAATGGGGTTGGTGATGGAAGAGGGAAAAGTTCTGTAGAAAAAGTGAGCAATCAAGGGAAATTAGTGTAGAGTCCCCCCCCCCCACCCCCATCCATGGTTTCGCTTGCCATGGTTTCAGTTACCTGCAGTTAACCTTGGTCTAAAAATATTAAGTGGAAAATTCCGGAAATAAATAATTCATAAGCTTTAAATCACATGCTTTTCTGAGTAGCTTGATGACCTTTACGCTATCCCCCTCCATCTTGCTCAGGATGTAAACAATCCCTTTGCCCAGGGTCCAGCATGTTCCAACTGTACACCACCTTACCTATTAGTTCCTTTTAGGTGTCTCAGTTATCAGATTGACTGTGGGGAGTGTCACAAGTAACCCTTATTTTACTCATTAATGACCCCAAAGAACAAGGATAGTGATGCTATCAATTTTATTATGGTATATTATCATTGCTGTGCTTATTAGGTATTGTTATTATTCCCTTACTTTTTAAATTAAACTTTAACATAGGTGTGTATACCTAAAAATAAACATAGTATATGTGGGGCCCCACTCAGTCTGCAGTTTCAGCCATCTTCTGGGGTCTGGGAACATGTCCTCAGTGAATAGTGGGGACTGCTGTAGCCATGGCTACTGATTGTTAACCACAGTGCAGTGGATCAACCAAATGTCTTGGGATCAGAAAACGTCAGCTCAAATCCCAGCCTCAGAAATTTACTATTTGTGTCACCTTGGTGAAGTTATTTCAAGTCTCTGAGCTTCAATTTCTTTTTCCAGGAACCTGAAATTTAAATATTCTTCTAAAATTGTTTTTGCACATCAATAGTGTACACTAATTCAAAAAAGAATTGGCCCCACTGAATGGGGTCAGAAACACTGAACTCCTTCAACTATCCTGGTAAATTATTTTCTTCCCTTGTATGCAAGGTATGTGGTTCAGAGTAGATGCTCCACAAATATTAGCAATTGTCATACATAGTATTTGTGATATTTGAAATGTGATGAGTTCCTTGTCAAGGCCAGAACTAAACATGACTATGGTGTGTTTGTGCTTGTGTGTGTGTGTGTGTGTGTGTGTGTGTGTGTGTGGTGTATTAGGGACAGGGACAAACAGAGGATTCAGAGTGCCCGAGATTCAGATGCCCTTTCAGCCTGTTCCCCACCCAATGCCGACTGCCATCTGCTCTGTGCAGCCGCCTGTCTGAGAGTGGAGGGTATCCATGGAAACCAGTATGAAGGTTGCCAAGAGGACTCTGTGGCAGCCTGCCAGAAGGGTAAGTGGAAATCAAGTGGAACCGAAAGTGACAGGCTCATGTGTGTTCAATGGAGTGGGAAGTGGTCAGCTGTGAGAGCCAGGGTGGGGCCTGAGCACAGTCAAGCTAGCATTCGGGCACCCAGAAGAAACCTCTAGACAACTCAGGGGGCCCTGCACAGCTGTGCTCCAGAGGGCCACTTTAGAGACTCTCACCAGTAATTTCTATATCTATCTCTGTCCCTCACCTCTTCTCTACCTCTCCTCTTACTTCCTGTGGTAGGAAATTTAGTAAATACAGTACAGAGAAGAAAACTTTATTTAAAAAAGAAAAATTTAATCACCTCACATTAACCACCATTCATAAGTTGATGCTTAAATTTTGGTGTTAGTTTACCTTTTTTAAATTTTTCTTGAGGTTGAAATCATGCATTTCCAACTCTGCATTCTTCTTTCTAAAAAATTCTTTTGAGTCAGACATTTTGCTTAGAGGGGAAAAAAAAAGTGGGATTTATAGTAAGATAGCTTCTCCCTTTTCATCCCAGATTAGCCTCAGTTAATGGCTGAGTCAGAAATAACAAATTGATCCAAAATGGATTTTCCTAAGTGAATGCTATCATACTGCCTTAGCTGGTAGCACCCACTGCATCATTTTCCAATTTTTGAATTGGAGATTTTTTTTAACATTTATTTTTTTAGTTGTAGGTGGACACAATACCTTTATTTTGTTTTTATGTGGTGCTAAGGATGGAATCCAGTGTCTCATGCATACTAGGCGAGTGCTTTTTCTCTGAGCCACAACCTATGCCCCAAATTGGACATTTCTTATGTATTTAAGCAGCTTTGATAAAGTCTTGTGAATGAAGGAAATAAAGAAATGGAACAGAGGGAAAGTAATAGGGGTTGTTTTGCTGTTTCTGAAATGAGCATTGAGATTTAAAATGTATACTTTCAGGGAGTGGGGGCGCATGACTGTAATCCCAGCTACTCTGGAGATTGAAGCTGAACAAGCACAAGTTCAAGGTTAGCCTGAACAGTTTAGTGAGTCCTGTTTCAAAATAAAAAAATTAAAAGGCTTGGGGTATAGGTTAGTGGTAGAGCATGCATGAAGCCCTCCTTCTTGATTTAGTGGTGCAAGAACCAGGGGTCCTATTGTTCCTGTCACCCCACCTGTGTACAACTGGGAAGTTGGGAAGGCACACCCTAGTGGTGGGAACTGAGTCTTCACAGCCACCAACATGTTTGGGGGAAAATAGACATTCCATGTGGAGGGACCAAGATGTCATTTCAATCTGAATGTGTCTCAGATGGACTCATTGTGTAAACCATTCTTTTTCTGATTAATTAGTGCAGTTCTGTAGAATCTTGAGCGGGACATTTCATGGGGATGATGTCAGCCATCCTGAGAGCTGTGGGAAAAGGCTAGTTCAAGGGGAGCTTAGCAGAGTGCTGATAAACCAGGGCTCACACGGGGCCTCCTTAGTATTCGTGCTTTTCCCCCAAAGCATTATAAACTCTTTATTCGCATCATTTAAATAATTGCATACTATACTATCATGTGGATGTAGCCTGTTTTATTTAACCATTCCTATATTTCTGGATGTTTCACTCATTTTCAATTTTTCACCACTGTTAATTCAAAACTAACTTGCTTGCTTGCTTGCTTGCTTCCTTCCTTCTTTATTTCATTCTTCCCCTTCCTTCCTTCCCAAATAGCTCCATTTCAGAGTCATAATTGAGAACCCCAGCAATTTAGTGAACAGAAGGAGTTTTATAAATGTATTGTTCTGCCCCCCTCCTCCATTTTCCTGATGTGACGTTGAGACTGGCAGCTGGGTGTGTGATTTGTCCAGTAGTGCAGAGAGGTGGGTTTCACACTAGGGAATGGAATCCAAGGTGTTATGGCCTCATGGCCCAGTGCTCTTTTCTCTCCCAAGCAACCTTGCTCCATCTCTTGGTTGTACCTGCTTATGTATTTCACAGTCCATCACATAGGATGCTCCAGCTAGCCCACTCAAGACCCTTGAAATCCCTGGGGTCACTGTATTGCAAGTGTTTCTACCCTTAAAAAATATTTCTATCCTTATAAGTATTTATTTATGAGTAAATACTGTCATTGTCATGGCAAACTAGAAAGCAAGGACTCTCTCATTTTCAGCTTAGAGTCAGCTTGCATGATTGAAAGGAACCAGTGATAACTCGACCACTCCATACTGCTCTGCCATGCACTTCTACACTTTCACTTGAAAAAAGGAATATATGTTTGGGAGCAGTTTGAAAATCAACACAAAGTAAACCCCAAAGTGAACCCAGATCAAGGAATGAAGCCTTATTTAAGCTTATTGACTAGCTTAAAATTAATTCAACAAATATTTTTTAAACCTTGAAGTGAAGAAAACACTGAGTTAATCTAACAATTGTTCAAAAGAAAGTTTGTATTCAGATTGCTTCTGGTTTAATTTGGGAGACTGTTTTAATTGTAGGTTTTATTACTTGGGTATTGGAAGACCAATTGGGAAGATAGTTTGTTCCCCTCAGGAAACACCAGGCCACACTAGGCCACACGGGAAGCAGTTGGGGAAGCATGGGCAAGAGACATTGTTTTGGTTTTCTCGGGAAGGAATGGTGAGGTAGGGTAAGCAGGCTAGGCCGGTTGAGGATTGGCTAGTTTGAAGAGTTTAGATTGCTCTGGGGCTTAGGGGCTGTCCATGTGCACTGAAACCTGGTCTAGAAGCAATAGGACACAGGATAGTGACCCAAATGCAAGACCCTCTGAGAGCCTGATAAAGGAGATGGTTGGGGAATGGGCATGGGTTTGTTTGCACATGAAAGGCATTCTCACAGGCTAGTTGCTTACTGTCTCTAGGAATTGGGATGGGGATAAGGGACAGTTTTCCTGGGATCTTTAAGACCCCAGATGCTAAAACATCAGAGGAAGAAGACATGTCTAATTCATAGGCCAGGCAGATGCTCAATGTTAGCATTCTATAGGGTAAAAGTTGTAGATAACAAAAGAGAAGCATCCTTTGGGTGTTAAAAGAGATTGTTTTTACAATACTCGCTCTGACACAGCCTTAATGGAAGAAATGGCTTTCCAGCAGGGCACGTGAGAGCAAGCAGCCCAGCTCCTACCACTCATTGGCAAGCTACCCACCTTGGGAAAATTACTTAAACCCTTTCAACAACGTTTAAATACTCATTTATTCCATTTATATCCCAAGATGGCAGGTCAAGCAAATATCTCAGTGTTGTCTCTCAATGTACATGAGCCTGCAACAGGGTCACCTGGTGTACCTGTGTAAGATGCAGCTTCCTGGAGCCAGAATCAGATTCTGAGGGTGGGGCTCAGGAGCCTGCCTTTTAACAAGTCCCTCAGTCCTACCCTGTGTGTTTCCTAGAAACACTGAAGTTGGAGACAGCCTAGAGGAAACAATGCTAGGCACCTTCTAGAATATAAAGGGTAAAGTTCTACACGCTCACAAAGAGATTTTTATGTACTTCTTACAAGTACAGGCTTTACCGTGCTTCAGAATCCTACCCGTCAGCTCCTGGCCTCGGTCACATCTGCTGAGTAGGTAATAAGCACGTGTACAATAAACACACCTCCCCAGAGCCCTACCTCCTGCAGCTTGGCCAGTCTTAGGCCAGCTGCTTAGGGAGGCTAATGTTACAGATGTTCTGATACCACACAGAAAGCCCTGAAACCAAAAAACCAAGTCCTCAGACTGCAAGAAGTTTCCAGTCACAACGTGGCCATGATACAACTGTGTGATTTCAAATTCCTGATTTATCCCCAGGGGTTTCTATTTTTACCTCATTTTTTAAAACTATAAACTAACAGGCTAACTGGAAGTGATTTGGGCAGTTTCAAGGGAAAATACATGAGTAAAATTTATCAAACTATTGCTAAGTCCTTTGACCTGACTGAGTAGTGCTGTCGCAGGCAGGTGCCCTATAAGCTGGGGCTGGAAATTGAAGGGGTGGGAAGACTAACATTCACTAAGCATCAGATGCCACTCGTACCTTGGCATTGACATCTTCAGTCCTCACAGCCCACCTGTGAGGTACATTTTCCTGCTTCACTTCCATATGGTGAAGTTCAGACATTTCTACTCCCTTGCCCAAGATCTCCTGGGAAGTATGGGATGCATAAGGATTTCCGGCTCACTCTGCTTGCTCACAGAGACTCTGTTATTGCCCAGCCAGAAGTCTCCAGGCCCAGGGGTAGTTGAAAGGTCACTCCTTTACCATCTAACTAGTGATCCTTACAATACTCTGGTAATAGAGCTTCCAGGTTGTGAACTGATAACTCAGTCCACTGACCTTCACAGATCTCTGAAATAACAACCAAATTCCTGGCTGCCTATTTTGCTCCACATTTTCCTTCCCACTCCCTTAGTAATTATACAGTAATTATTATGTTGGTAATTACCTCATTAGTAATTTGGTTTGAGAAAGGCCTTTATAAGCTACGAGATTACAAACGACAAATGCAGTTTTAATAGCCCTTTAACACTCATTAAGAGGAAAAAAGTTTTCCTGCACAATATTTTGAAAACTGTTGGCGTCTCTCTTAATTAATGTTTCTTTAAAGAGACCAAGGTTTTCTTGTCTGAAGAGCTGGTTTCCAAATAAGCAAAAGTGCCCTGAAAGTACTAATAAAGCAGAGCGGCCTCAGGGCCCCCCCACTTCCTGGGTGGAGACATGGGCCAGGGCTTTAGGAAAGCTGGAAAAGACACTGGACTGACAAGGAAATTTGTATCCCGGTCATGGGTCCCCAGAGCCAGCACCTCAAAGTCCTTTCTGCTGAAATCAGGTTAGAAGCCCCTGGAGGCCAGTCTGTCCTGCTCGGCTCTCCCGGCAGCCCTTGGCTGAGGAGTGAGGCACTGGGACTCCTCAGTGCAGCAGGCCCGGCTCCTCAGTCGGACTTCACTGACTGCCATGCACCCCCACGTCCCACCCGCCAGTGACTCAGGCCACAGGCACAACTTGGAGTCTGTGGAATTTGCTTCCACCATCCTGTGACTGTGAAAAACCTTACGTCTCCCATCTTTGGGAAATTACTGTCAACAAGATTCAACTTGTGTTTGCGTTGACATTTTTGCCACTGCCCCCAACTTCATAAGGAAGAATGCAACTTCTCATTTATGTGCCCGAGCACATTGTACAATACTTCCCTTGCCATATTATTTGTTTATGCAGAAAGTATCAGAGTCTCGGCTGCCAAGCGTGGGGACAGGGACACAGCTACTCCTGCCTAACCCTCCCATATCTCGTATCTGGATTGTGAAGGTCATCTTCCTACTAACTGGTCTCCCTGCTTCTCTCTTGCCCAAATGGTAGCTGTTCTGAATGCAGCAGCTGGAGGAAATCTCAAATGAGAACCAACTCATGCCATACTCAGAGCTACATCGGGTCCCCTTGGATCCAATGGTGGCTTCCCATCTCACATAGAAAAAAGTCAGACCCCTCACTCTAATGTACAAGGCCCTGCCCCATCTGTCCTCCCTTCATTTATCTCACTTCTTGGTTTCTAGCCCCTGTTAGCTCTAGTCCAGCTCTGCTGGCCTTGGCGTTACCCTCCTGCCTCAGGGCCTTTGCCCTCTGCCTGGAACACTCTTTCCCTATATGTCCACAAGGCTCATTTCCTTCAGTTCTCTGCTCAAGTGTCACTTGATCAGAAGGGCTGTCCTGTGACTCTAGGTAACAGCACCCAAAAAGACATACACGCACATGTGACTGTTACCTTTTTAATTTTATTTTCATATTTTTTAGTTGTAGTTGGTCACATACCTTTAATTAATTAATTAGTTGATTTTTTATATGGTGCTGAGGATCGAACCCAGTGCCTCACACATGCTAGGCAAGCACTCTACCACTGAGCCACACCACCAGCCCCAACTGTCACCTTTTATTGCCCACCTAATTTGGTATCGTTGGGCAAGTGCCTGGAATTGCAATGAATAACACAAAGGAAGCCTGACCTGGGCTCAGATCTGCCACTTGCCAACTCAGGGATCCTCAGCACCCCATTTTCATAAAAATAGAATAAATCTAATGAAACTGAGATGAGGATTAAATAAGAGGGTTTGGTAAGGTCAAGAACTTGCCCCCCCAAGGCACAGAGCCAACATTTGAATCTCAAAGTCACAGTTGAAAATAGATATAAATGAAATTAAGAGAGAATCTCTTAGAATCTTAGAATCTCTATTGACTAGAGAATTTCCACACCATTGCTAAAAATTCATTCATTCACACACTCGGTGTCCATTGCCAATGGACAGAAATGCCTCTGCAGGTGGTATTTACTGGGTAGAATTGGATCATCCCATCTCAGTAACGTGACTGGACCTCGGTGCCTAGCTCCTGGAACAGCAGAAAGGATCAATTTTCATTGATCTTTTTCTAGGCCTGACCTTGATATCCCTTCCTGTCTCCCCCTAAATATATCAAAGCACCCAAGGAGGGAAGCGTGTTCTCCTGCAGCTGAATTTCAATGGTTTCAGGTTGAGGTTTCAGAAGCAAGTACATGACCATTGAATAGACAGCCTTTGAATCTGCTGCCCTTTCCTCTCCCTTCATGTGTGAGTTTTGTTAGCTAGCACGGTCACTCTCGGGCCATCCATCATTGTCCTTGTGAAAGCGCTTTTGTGCTGTCTCCTGGCCCTGTGTTAAATGATCTCATCTGGAGGAGGGGATCGGGAGGGGAGTTGACAAAGGGCAGAGGGAATTTAAGAAAATACTTTGAGAAGCTGGGTGTAGCTCAGTGATAGAACTTGTGCTTAGTATGTGCAAGGTCCCAGTTCCATACCCAGCACCACCAAACAAAATAACATGGCGGGGAACCCCAAAACCCAACTTCTATTACATTTCATTAAATCCTTATATCAACACAGCAAAGCTCAGGAAGGGCAGTTCTTGAAGTTCTGCAGCTGGTAAATGGCATAATTGAGATTTCAAACTCAAACTGCTTGATGGGCCACGCTTTGTTCTTGCTGAGGATGAATGCAGATTACAGGACAGTGACCCAAAATAGATCTCCCAGCAGTCCCACCAACAATTAAACTGTTACCCAACAATAACTCTCTTTGAAGTAATTCAAATTATACTTCTTACATAGTCACACTGGCACCCACGGTGTGCCTGGAACCAAGGGCTGTGCCAGGCACTTTACAGACAATATTTCCTGTGTTCATCACTCTGTGGCAGCAATTTTGGTGTCTCTCAA